TTACGATGGCGCTAGAATGTGACCTATGACCTGCACCCGCGTTAAAAAGGTCATGTGATCCCCATTTGCCACCTTCCCAAACAAAGCCAATGGGAGAAGCCGGACTCGCTTAACATGCGATTCACTTAACAAATATCTCAATAAAAAAGACATAATACTGTTTTGTGGGATGACATGAAGGTATCAGTGATTTTTCCCCCATGGCTTTTATGAAATTGCAGGTAGTTCTTGACTTACGACTACAATTGGGACTAGAACTCCCACCATCACTAAGTGAGGCCATCATTAAGTGAATGACACTGAATTTTATCACCTTTTTTTTGCGGAGGTTGTTAAGTGAATCGCATGTTAAGCGAGTCCGGCTTCTCCCATTGGCTTTGTTTGGGAAGGTGGCAAATGGGGATCACATGACCTTTTTAACGCGGGTGCAGGTCATAGGTCACATTCTAGCGCCATCGTAACCTCAAGCAGTTACTTAAACATATGGTCGTAAGTCGAGGACAACCTGTATCTGAGACTCTTGTTCAACTGACCATCAAGTGAGCTTCCTTGAACCTAGAAGGATTTAATCCCAAATAAGTGAATAATTTGTATTATTTTTGGTCGTTGCGTGAAAGCTTCCTTGTCTTTGTGAATCAAGGTGGCTCATGCTTCTTTTTAATTTGCACCCTTGGCCCAGGCCATTGAAAATTTTGCTATGACTGTGAAAACCACAGCGCAGATGTTACAAGCCTTTGGAACAAACCTGGCGGAGACAGAACTTCCCAACAATGTCCAGTGCACGGAAGAACTTTTGTGTTCCCACACAGAACAACACACCAACTTGAAGGTGAGCCTGTGTGACTTTCACAACTCTGAAAGGGATTTTGCCAGGGTCTCCCCGTCCACCCAAATAAAGGTTTCCCGAGACGGAGGTCAGAAGTCAATTATTAATTGTTTCATTTACTTATCCATTTAGCTTATCTCCCCTTACAAGAACTCAGTGGGGGTACGTCTTCCATTGTCGACCACAGTGAAACCTGAAATTGGCCGAGCAGGACAGTTTTGAACTGTTTTGCATCAGTTAGACGAATCGCTGTATTTTGTTAGAGGAGAATCATGCCGTCGTTAAATGATTCTGGCTTCTTTCATTGACTTTGCTTGTTGAAAGCCAGCTGAGATGGTTACAAATAATGATCCCATGATTCTGGGACACTGCAGCTGTCGTAAACATGCAGATGTTGTCACACACCCAAATTTTGATCCCGTGACCTTGAGGATACTGCAAAAGAGCAAAAATTGGCCATCAGTCACTTTATCAGTTCTTTTCAGTATGTTCTTTGTATCTTTCTCAGGCTCCGGACCATGTCATGAAGTTTGGCTTATAACCATGAGAGCCAAATTGCTATCCAGGATGGGCCTGGATATATATATATATAATCAAATTCCCTTCTTCCCTTCTTTATATATATATATATAAAATGGCTGTGTGTGTTCCAGCATATCTCTGGAACGCCTCAAGCAATTTCAGTCAAACTTGGTACACAGATGACTTACTCTAGGGAAACAAATACTGGGGGTGGACGGGGAGACCCTGGCAAAATCCCTTTCAGAGT